AGTAGCAGGGAGTACACTGCTGTATATTAAAGGCAGTCAGATATAAATCCGTAACAAACTAGAAGTCTGATTAGAAAAGTGCACTTGTTATTCTAGAAAGGCTTGGTTTACTTAGAAATAGATAAAAACACAATAAAATTAGAATGTAGCCTAATCAATGGAAGGGTAAATGCTGCAACACTGACGAGGTTTAAGCATGTGCCACTTTTGTTGGGAGGAGCAGGGTATAAAGGTATACATGTAGGACACATAGAATAGTTAACAGTAAAAGAGTTTGTGTGGTATTGCTTTCATTATATTTATTATTTTGTAGAAACATTTGTGAATGTTAGACTTTTCTTATTGTTTTATTATATTTATGTATAAAACAGGTTGACTGCTTTTTTAAAATAAATAAGCAAAAAAAAAGTCTGTATGAATGCCTCTGTCATCTTTTGAGGGAAGTCACCTATAAACATCTCGTGTGGTGTTCTGGTTTTTTAAATAAACTGCTTCAGACAATTTGAAGCAGACTGTAGCCATGTTTTAACTTCAAAAGCAGATTGAAAACTTCAGAGAACTTAAAGCAGTACATCCTGACTGCTCTAAAAATGAGTCAAGATACTAATTATCTTGCTAAGTGCTAGAAAAACTGCGTGGGGAAGTAGACACGCTTATAGATAAGTTGTACTGCAGAAGATCTTGGTGATTATATATATACATATATATACACACACACATATATAATATATACATATTGTGCATATATATATATATGTTTTAATTTCTAAAATTTATTTTAAAATTAAACCTCATTCTTCTCCCTGCACGTTTAGTAGTTGACTGGACACTTCTCGGTTACTGACAAGCTGGTTAGTTCCTTAGAGAACAGGTTGTGCCTTTAACTCCCTCTGCTAGCTACGTCTTTGCAGCAGCATTGGTTTTTAGAACTCTGACAGTAGTCTATTTAACACCAGTGAGTACTGTGTTAATTTTAAACCACATTTCTCACTGATTTCATTATGCAGTGGGCAGAGCTCAGCAATAGAACTACTGAAACGTTTCAGAAACTTGCAATGCCTTACTCCTCCTTTGGTCCTTGTTGGGGTTTTAAACTCTGTCAGTGTATCTCTTAGGTTGGCATGCAGAATACATACACAGCCGTTACTCACTGTAACAGCCTGCTATCTCTCTTACCTTCTAAATGGATCTCGGGGACCCAAATACACTCCAGATGATCACTTGGGCAGATGATGAATGTAAAACTAGTTAAATGCAAGGCTGTGTTTCTTACTGTGATTATGGTTGGATACAAGAAAGAATGATAAAACAGATAGATAGCCAGCCATGTACAGCAGACATAACCATGTATTTTGAAATTAAAGATAGAAGAATCAAGCTTACTGGTTTTGTAATTAATTTTCTGTGTTTAGGGACAGATGTAATGCAAATGGAAAACTGTATTTAATTTCCTCCATAAATGGGAAATCTACATGGAGATTCATAAAGGAGTATCCTGTATTGGAAAATAATGACTGACAATTTCATCCTCTGTCACAGTTAATTTACACTGAGGAGAATGTTAGACGATGAATTCATAGGAAGAAGCAGGTACATGCTTTTGCTCCAATCGGACCTACATGTGACTTGCCACATGTGCCAAATGCAAAATCTTACACAGTTTATCTACAGTTGTTTTCAGTGCCACTGCTTGTCAATGATTATCCTGTTTTAAGGTTCACACATCCTAACAGATAGTTCATTAAGTTAAGGAGTTCTGTGACATTTCCTGTTAATCTGTTAATTCTTGTGGAATGAATTTATAGCCCTCTTCTACCCTTCCAGCCAAAGGTCATTCCAAATGCTATATGTGGAATTTGTCTGAAGGGTAAGGAGTCCAACAAGAAAGGAAAAGCTGAAGCTCTTATACATTGCTCCCAGTGTGACAACAGCGGTAAGTATCAGCATACACTAAGCGGATTCCTAAGGGAGTGTGTTTGGCAGATCTTTTTGTGGAAATACTGAGTGTACTAGGCTTGTGTGCCAACAGTTCAGCTGCCTTTTCTGTCCTTCGTTAAGAATCCATCCCTAGTTAATGTTACATGTACCAGCACGTTTGGTGTGCTATGGGATCTCACCAGGAGGTGAGCCAAAATTCAGCTTCTTGTAGAAGCAAACAAACATTCTAACTAATTTTAAATTTAATTTCAGACATAAAAGTAATAATACTGGTTTTAATCTAGGCCACCCTTCTTGCCTTGATATGACTCCGGAGCTTGTTGCTATGATTAAGACTTACCCTTGGCAATGTATGGAGTGCAAAACATGCATTATATGTGGGCAGCCTCACCATGAAGAAGAAATGATGTTCTGTGATGTCTGTGACCGTGGTTACCACACTTTCTGTGTGGGACTTGATGCCATCCCTTCAGGTAATAGGAGTTAATTGTTCCCTTCCCACCTTCTCTGAATCCTGGGCTTTCTCTGTCAGAGTTAACATACACTTTGCTTTTGAAAGAATAGTTAAAATAAGTGTGAAGGGTAGGAGTAAGAAATTCTGTAGGAAAGCACACCATAGGACAGGGTTGTTTTAAAATAAGCTTTATTTCTGTATATTTGGTTGTGCAGTTTAACCTGGCCATTCCTGTATAGGAAATAGAATTGGCTTTTACAACAGAATCCAAACAGACTCACTCAGAACAAGGTTTTATTTTCCCCCCATATCCACAGAATACCGAGAATAATTACCTCTCTTCACAAAAGAAACCTGTAAAGAGGCTGTATTGCTGCATATTGCTGGAGTATAGCTTTCACATTAACAATGTGTTTGTGCTATCATGTCAGTTTCTAAATTAAAAAGTATGCTCAATTTAGTATTTGTAAACACGTTTGTATACCCATCCCTTCCTTTTTTCTTAAGCATCCAAGCTGGAAGTGCAGTACCTAGACGTCAGGCAGCCTGTACCTTTAAATTACTTGGTCACTTGTTATCAGCTGGCCAGCTCAAGGCAGTGTAAAGAAAACTGTTGCTTTTTGTGTAATACTAAATCCATGGTAAGTAAATAATAAGTACACAGTGGCTGCAAGTTCTGCAGCAACAGAATCCCCTGTAACTACAGTGCTTCAAGTATGTGGTACATTCCCATTTTGGGAAGCACTGGCACTAGCTGTCTGTCACCTTAGTACAGGTTCTGCGGCCCATTTAACTTTCCGCTGAGCTAAGGGCAGAATCTAAACAAAATAGATTATATGCCTACTAGACAAGGAAATTACCAAATCAGCCTTTATGATTCCAGCTGCTGTAATACAAACAGTTAAATGCTTCTGCTCTTTACTCAGCCCTTTTTGAGGGTCAGTGAGTTTCAGTACAAGGTCTGATGATGAACCCCTGCCAGCAGTTGTCTGTGCTGCCTGACTGCACTCAAATAACAGGCATTAGTTTGAGGAACAGGACCCCGTACCTGCAGCAGGAGAGCAACGTTCCCCAGCTGCTGTTCATTCACCTCGGGCTGTGGTCATTCACAGAACTTGCAAACTCAAGGATCAAGCATCATTCCTCAGGTTCTTTCCTAATGACCCACCTCCTTAGCAGTGCTGGTGCTTCCTGAGGTCCACAGATCGGTGCAGCCACTTGTTACACATGAGGAACCCACACGGGAGGGCACAATGCTCACACTGCTTTCTGCACCTTCTCCAAAGGTGTTTATGTTTCAAAGAAAAGCACTGGCTGTTTACGTTGAAAGAGGTGCTGCAAACAGATGAGCACCGATTAAGAGTGGTGGTGAAAGGTACATAACAAGGTGGATGAGTAACAAAGTTAGTTTCCCAGTAATTGATAACTTTCTTTCCTTAGGTCGCTGGATTTGTGATTGTTGTCAGAAAGACTCTCCCATACCCAGAAGAGGAGGAAGAAGGGGGAAAAACAGCAAGGAGGGCTAAAACCCCCCAGAAACTTGCTGTCCAAAACTTAACTGCACAAATTGAAGTGATACTTTGGTGCTATTTAACCAACCACTCTAAGAGGAACAATACCACTTTTTTTTTTTCTTTTTATCAAATAAACTCTTAATTTTGTCTATATAATGACTTTTTTGTGATAAAAAGTCACTAATCACGTCCTGTCAGATGTTTGGATAGAGACAGGCAAGCCAAATTCCCACTCAAAAAGAGAAGGCTTTTGGTAATGAAATCTAAATTGTACATGCACCGTTTGCATAAAGTTATAAGTAATGTACTTGTTTATTTCAGTGCACTCATCAGTAAGCTCTGAGAAAAGAAAATTACACAGCAACCTAAATACCCACTATTTGCATAGCAACTGGTTATTTTGAAAGACTCAACCAAGGCAAAAAATATTTCTGGCAAAACCGATTTTCGACAAAGAGTGGGTACAGCCTGACCTTCTTACACCCGACTGCACACTCAGCAGAAGTTTTCTTTGCAAGCTCATGTCTTATTCACAAAGACATACTACTAAGAAAAGAAAACCAAACAATCACAAAAAGCTATCAAGGGAGGTGTAAGGAAACACCTCCCGAGTTCAAGATACTTTATGGTGCGTCGCTTTTAACGAGAAACAAAACCACCGTATTGACAAGTAACAACAGCTGACAGCTCACAGTGACAGCAGAGAAGTGACACGCACTCGATTTGGGTGGTGGCTTTGCAGATGTGATGAGTGACTGGAGAAACCTTTGCTCGGCATTATGTAGAGCACAAGCAGGCAAAATATAGATCATCCATCCCCCCTAGATGATTGGGAGGTTTTTCCTTCCTTCGCCCTTGGCTCCTCAGCTTCAATACACTCAAGCCGCATTGCTAATTAGTTTTACTGGAGATCCTTGCTCAGAAAAGAAGTACATTTTATTTTTAACCGTGCTCTAGATTGAGAGTGGCCCTGAAGTGCAGCACTTGATTTCACTTGTCTTTATAAAAAACAATAGAAAATACTGAATTGGAGTTGATTTTCCTAAGCACCTGTTCAAAGTTAATTTAATGAGATCCCAACTGTACATTCATTTTTAAGCCCTGATCTCCAAAGAACACTGCAAATACTGTGCTCGCTGCTCATTTTACATATAGGGGAGGATTTACAATATAAAATTAAATATGGCTTTTTCCCCCACTTCCTTTCTGGTTTACTAAAAGTAACCTGAATACCTCTTCAGGAAACATAACAAAGTATTAAATATCACAGCAAGTCATTCGTGTTCAATTTCACAGGCTGAAGTGTGACTCAGTCCAGTTTGCATCAATTTAAAAAAGAATTTCAAGTATTAATTTCAAGATTCCAATCAGTATAGTCCAGAAAACAGACTCCTCGTCCTGTGACTCATCTTCTGTAGACTGTGAGTATTTCTGGTTTGCCTCCATCTCCTCGGGGTTGTAAGAAGCCTCACCAAACGGGTACTGTACAACTGTCCGATCGTAGTACACTTTCATTTCAAACTCGCTCTCCAGGTGAGAGGGGTGGCCGTAAATCCCTATTCCCACTGGCCGGCGGAAGTGTGCTGGTACATGGACAACATCCTGGCCACAGGTTACAGACTGTAACTCATACTCGTCAAAGCTGGGGTGAAGTGTCATGTCAGATACATACAAGTCTGCATCACCTTTTAAGCTCCGCATCTGCAGCACGATCTTTCCCTCATGATTTAGTCTCAAATAGCTGTAGTTGCCTGCTCCAATCTGACCTTGAACAACATGGAGAAGGACCCATTCTTCAGGCACATCCTCTTCCTCAAAGGCATTTAGCACAAAGAGTACTTGAGCTGCTACAAAAATGATTCTCCAGCATGCCTCCATGGTCTGAAGCTATATTCAGACTCCTCCTTTCTCCTGTTCTTGTCTCCTCCTTCTGAATACAAAACATAATTCAGATTTCAGTATACACCCTTCTTGGAAAGAATCAAATTTATGGGGTTTTTTTAACTTGGTAATTTTTATAAATTCCCTCTAGTCCACACAAAGCTAAGCAACTTTAATTAAGTATGTTCATTAACTTTTTTAATAATAAGAAAACCCAACTGCTAAGAATCAGAGCTCTGTCAGATTAAAATGGCCGGAATTTCTTAATGAAGTTAAACAGGAATTAATCAAGCGGGTGTTTTGTCATCCAGGACTGACACAGAGACATTAGTTTCACTCTACCTGCATACCTGCCAAATTTGAGCAGGATGAAACCCAATAATGATTTTAGCTGCAGTTTAAAGAAAAACGAACAACAAAACAAAACAGTTAAAAAAGAAGTTAAAGAAGAATGCTGTTGCATGCCTGAAGTTCAACACTGCATCAGGTGTTTAGGGCATCCTATTTGTTCTCCCATCCTCTCATCTTAACTTCCGAAGACAGTAAAGGTGCAAACCTGGGTGCACACATGAAGCCGTATGCATTCTGACTTGCAGTGGGCATGGAATTAGAAATAAAACCTAGTTACCTAGTGAAATGAAGTTATGATTCTGCTGTGTGGATTGTTTCTAGGGCTAAACTTGGCATAGTATCTGTGAAAAAACAATGCATTTTCTAGACATCTAGTTACCGTACAAGCACTCAGCTCTTCGCAGCACCACCTTAATGCAACTGTTCAAAGACCCAAGTTGTGAACCTTGCTGACGGCTTCCAAAATACACAAGCTGACTGACAGTGACACACGGTCACACTCAAGTACGATAGCCACACATATACGTACACACTTCCAGGTTGAAGGGAAGCTTCTCATCCCTTCATTCCTTCCATGAAGACACTACAGCTACAGCTACCTTAAACATGAAAACTACAAGTTGTTTTGTACCCTGCTGGCATCGAAGCAAGCTGCACTTAAACCTTAAGAGGTTTTACAGCTAAACAGATCAAGGGAAAAAACGTAAGAGTATTCCTGAACTCCAGGTTTTCTGCCCCGGAGGCCTCTATCCTACAAGGCCACAATTGGGCATAGAGAGCATAAAAGAAGGAATTCTCACAGCATTCGCAGAACCTGGCCGACTGACAGAACACCCTCAACAACATTAAAAAACACTCTTCTGCCTTCTCTCCCCCCGTATCGGGCGACCGACCCTCGGCCACTTTTAACCCGAAGCGGCGCTGAGATGACCCGAGCGGGGGAACCGCACGGGTCCGCTCCTGGGCAGCAAACGATGAAGTTACGGAGGGACACACGGCGCCGTCCCGGCGCTGCAACAGCACCTGCGAGGGGCTGCGGTTTCTAGAGCCGCCCGCCCCGCTGACCCCCGCCACCCT